TCTCTGGCTGTCTCTCCCTGTCAAATAAATAAATAAAATCTTTAAAAAAAAAAAAAAAAGAAAACTAACCACATGAAAGCTCTTTGGCAAAAATATTTATGTATCCTAACATTAAATGTTGAATCCTTTTAAGAATACAAATTGTTCCTCTGTTTTAAAGAAAGTAATATATTTTACTTACTACAGAACCTTACCTTGACTAAGATGTTCATGGTAAATAGATGCTAAATTGGGAAGATGTTGTTGGAGATGAGATGTTAGCTCTGCATGTGAATTAATCTGAACTAGTTCCTCTTCACACCCAGATTCTTCACCATCAAAATCAGCCATATTTTTTTCTGATTTTGCACTGACCTGGGAGCTACTGCAACTGACATCATCTGCACTTAGCATATCATCAACCATGTGCCTATAACACAGAGAAGAGCACAAAGTTAAACATACTTTGTGAATCACAAAAATTATCTCTCAAAATATTCAGCACAAGTTATATCACAGTCAAGAACAAATCTACATTTGTTTTGTAACAATATGGAATATTGTGAGCTTTACAAAAACTAAAAGCCCACATTGTCAGAACTATATATTAATTACAATATACCCACATATTGTCTAACCCGTCAACACACTTCACTAAAACAAACTCAAAGAGTAATTTTAGAGAAGATCAGTGAACTCACTATTACATAATTATTTTTTCAACTCACATCACAATGTGAAATCTTAAAATTTATTTAAATTCATTCATACAACTGTAGAATCGAATGAGATTACTAACAGGCAAATACTACAATTTAAGGCCACAACCTAGATGTGGTTATTAACCAGGAGAATTTTATACAATACAAACACCTATTAAAACAATAAGCACCTACTGGGGCACCTGAATGGCTCAGAGGTTAAGCATCTGCCTTCGGCTCAGAACATGATCCCACGGTCCTGGGATCAAGCCCCGCATTGGGCTCCCTGCTCAGCAGAGAGCCTGCTTCTCCCTCTCTCTCTACTGCTCCCCCTGCTTGTGCGCTCTCTCTGTCAAATAAATAAATTCTTTAAAAAACAAAACAAAACAAAACAAAACAAAAAACAATAAGCACCTATTAAGCACTAAGCATTTTTTTTTTTTAAGATTTCTTTATTTGAGAGAGCATGCATGTGCGCAAGCAGAGGGAGGGACAGAGGGAAAAAGAGAATCTACAGCAGACTCCCCACTGAGCCCAGAGCCCAACGCTGGGCTTAATCTCATGACTCTGAGATCGTAACTCAACCTCAAATTAAGAGTTGGATGCCCAACTAACTGAGCCACCCAGGTACCCCAGCACTCACTTCTGAAACATACCATACTGGGCACTTTAAAGATGGCAAACAAAAAAGATGAAATAACACTGAAGGAGAAAAGGTCAGGATTAATTTAGAGATTCACAAGCGGTACCTTGAACAGAGAATATGGATAGGGCTAAAATGAAAAAATTAAATCATTCTGAGTCTTGTGAAGTAGGGAACTGCTGTGAGTATGAAAACTTAAAGAACTACAATGTGCCAAAATGAGTATATTTCACCTCAGTTTTACAAACTAATTGCTTTTTCTTCCTTATGAGTTGTCCTGGGACGAACTTTGAATGTGTGTATGTATAATGCCAGACTATAAACCAATGTTCTCAATCACAGGTGACTGTGGTCCCCAGGTGGGATACTGGGCAACGTTTAGCGTTATTTTTGGTTATCATAACTTGGGAGATGCTGCTGGCATCTAGAGAGAGAGACTAGGGATGATGCTAAACATGCTACAATTCATTCACACTGCTGTAAATTCAAAACACAGAGTTATCTGACCCAAAATGTCAATACTGCCAAGATTGAGAGACATCATCTTTAAACTCATATGGGTTAGCAATAAAAAATAATGGCAAAGGAAATAAAGTAGTTTATGTGTGTGTGTGTGTGTGTGTGTTTATATATATATATGGACATGTAGTTCTTCCAAACAAGCATACTGAATTCTAAAAAGCCTGGCAAATTGTCAGGTCTAAAAAAAACTCATCCTGATAAACCACATATTTATATTTTATCACCGTCAATTCAAATATTACTACTTATAATGACAGTAATAAATAGTAGCTAATATTTATTGAGCTCTCGTTATGTGCCAATCACATCAGCCCATAAAATGTTCACACTGAAACCCAAGAGGTAGGTACTATTGTTCCTATTTTATAGATGAGAAAATGACAGAAAAATTAAGTACTTTGCCCAATATCTGTAACACCTAGTGACAACACTTACTTTTAATTATCACAAATATATTTCACATATAATCAAAAAACTTTATGCTAAGGCTTTGTCCTTATTAATACCCTAAAATTAAGATGTGTGTAAAATTTCCGTTTTCATAATCACACTTTAATGGAAGTTTCCGCAAGCAATCTTGTATCTGCTTTTAGGAATTTTACAAGTAGCTGAAGATCTACATCTGTGTTGTCCAATATGATAGCCACTAGCCATATATGGTCATTGCACATATTGAAAAGTGGTCTAAACAGAGATGTGCTGTAAACATACACAGAATACTGAAGCCTTATTACAAAAGAAAGAAAAATACCTTTGTTTTTAACACTGATCACATGTGGAGATATTTTAGAAATTACTGCTTTAAATAAAATTTATAATTAAAATTAGTGTCACCTATTCCATTTTGCTTTTTAAAATGTTAATTGCGAAATCGGAGGGGTAGACGAACCATGAGAGACGATGGACTCTGAAAAACAAACTGAGGGTTCTAGAGGGGAGGG